CACCCCCACCCCCACCCCTCAGGGGATCGAGCCTGCAACATAGACATACACCCAGTCGAGGAATCAAACCATGATCTCCTGGATCATAGGTCGATGCTCAACTGCTGAGCTAAACTAGTTAGGCAAAGACTTGATATTTTTTGACCCACTAATATTCCAATGACACCTCTGCAGTTCTCAAAAGAATAAAGGTAGGTCACTCTGAAAGATGACCAGACATTCAAACTGCAAACCAGGAAAATCTATCAGATTGCCACTGCCTGCCCTCACTCTAGCTGCTTCAAGCTGGACATCTAGAAATCTCAGCTGGCTGCCTTCAGAACTCAGAAAATTAGATTATAGTCTATTCCAATCATTAACCTTTGTTTTTCTTTTGTTTCCATAAAACTGCCTCTTATTAAATAACTTACTGTATAATAATAGGCCTAACTTTGAGGCCTATTATTTGTATGGGCTCCTGAAATGAGACAACTGTTTAACTGACGAATTCTCAAGTCTAAGAGATGGTTCAATACAATGGCGCAATCTACCAACTCAGCTTCTTGAGCTGGACTTCTTGGGGAAGTTTCAAAGGTAGGACTAAAGGGGAGCAGCTTATGCTACCCAAAAATGTGCCACTTTTGCATGTGGATTGTTTGAGCTGAAGGCAATCAAGACCTAGCTGACTCAGGAAAAACTTTCACCTCTCCCTTAACTGCCTAAAAAAACTTAGATAGGAGGCCTGGCCCAGAAAAAGAGCTACTACCAGATAGAATTTTTTTTTATCTGACTTACCTATATATCAGGAAAAATATCTGATGAGCAAACACCTGCTCTTCTTAACTTCCCCGTGAATTGCCCTCCTCCCCTTTGAAGCCTTAGCCCACATCCTTTAGCTGACATGGCATAAAAAAATTGCCTGACTGCCTTTGGATCTCATATGTTTATGGGGCTCTTGTAGCCTAGGAAGTCAAATTTGTTTTTCTCATGTTAAAAAAATAAAGGCCATCTCTCAGCTGTCCTGATCACTCCATGCCCCATCCCATCCCCTTCCCCCTTTATACAAATTCAAGGGACAAAATAAAGGTCAGCAAACACTTTGCCTTAACTGAAAACCAAACTATGATAGTCCAGGGAGAGAAATAAAAGTAAAAAGGCAGTTGACAAAAAGAGAACATCTGTAATATTTTCAACAATAAAGATAAATTTAAAAAATTTTAAAAGGCAGCTGACAGTCCTGTGATCCTAAAACTCCATTCTAAGCTTGAGGAACCATAAAAAATTTTGCACTTCCCAAAAGAAGTGAGCAATAACTAAGACAGATGAAAACTGGTGATTCCACCCACTCTATCACCACCGTCTGCCAGTAAGAGTTGGGAACGTGGCAGGAGACATCCCCAAGCACAGAAGGCTGGAATTGAACCCTCAAGAGTTCCTGATGGGTTACACGTCCTCCTCAATTAACAGCGACAACGCTGGTTTGGTCCCAAAAGAGAGAAAAACGGGCCCAAACCTCAAACCTGTAAATCTGTAGGGTAATGGCCGAATAGCAGTCTCTGTGATTTTACAGCACCTACTAGAAAGCTGCAACTCCCGGCGCTTCTCTGTCCAGAAGCAGATTGCCCCACCACACCGCTGGGCCCCTCGCCTGTATCTGGTCAATTTCCTCTTTTCATTTTTCGCTCACTCCTCCCCCACCAAATAGGTTCTGATTTATTTCTTCATTCCGCAGAGCTTCTCCATCTCCAGTCCTCAGTGGCACTCCAAAACCCTGCCAAGGGGCTCGGCACTGTAAAGTTTCTCCCCTCTGCAGCCTTTCTTTCAGCCTCCCTTCTCTCTCTGGCTGTGAGAAGCCCCAAACTCCCCTGGACAGGCCCACCGACCCCGCAGCCGGCGGCCGCGGTCACCAGCCCGCTCTCACCCCCTGAGGGTCCTTGACGAAGTAGCTTCCGCTGGAGCCTTGGTAGATACGCTCCGGGAAGATGCAGCGCTCGATGGCCACCTCGGCCTGTCGCACCACCGCCTCGAACTCGGGGTCCTCCGGAAACTCGTTCCGCTCCCGGTGGGCCTGCGCGGCGTGCGCAGCTACCGCGGCCTGGGCGGCCAGGGCTTGGGCCTGAGCCGCCACGGTTTGGGTTTGACCCTGGGCCGCCGCACCCCGGGCCCGATCCAGCAGTGGCTGCCGCTCCCGGTCATGGCCTGGCGAGCCCGGCGGAGAAGGGATCGGACCGGCCGCCGCCGCCGCCACTCGGATCGCGCCCCCCGGCACCTGCGGAAAGTGAGCGCCCGAGCCGGACGGAAAGGTGTAGTCGGGCGGTTGAGCCCGCTCGGGGGACACTAGTGGGCTCGTCTCGTCCATCCCTCAGGCCGCCGGCTCCGGGACCCGGCGCGCAGCACACAGCTGAACTCCCGGCCGGGACCAATCCACAACACCCCCAACCCCCGCCTGGCCAACCAGGTCGCTGTGCCTCTTTGGCCCCGCCCCTACCTTCCCTGTTTACTTGGCGACGAGTAGGCACGACCCCTCGCGCTCGAGCAGTAGCCAATCAGAATCAGCGCCTACGCAATCACGCTCCGCAATTTTTGCTCGTCACCTTTTGTGAGGACTGCGCATGCTCCGGGAGCCAAATTCGTGTCAGACGCGCCCTCCGCTCTTAACTTTCGATTGTTGACCTATCTTTGGGGGTTTTCAATAAAGTAGCCTACCTAATCGGTCACTAATTATTGAGTGCCTACTGTGAACCACTGTAAGACTGGAGAAATAGAATCTTTGTATCTGCATTCATTAAATCATACNTCTGCATTCATTCAATCATACACTAAGTCATTTTATTGAGCACCTACTACGTTCTAGGTACTGGAAAGAGAGCAGCGAGGCAAAGAAACAAAAATCCCTTCTCTACCTAAATGAAAAGGTTTTTCAAAATCCCAGCCCTCATGCAGCTTACACCGTACCTGCCACAGAGCTCAATGTTTGTTAATTGAGGAAAGATACGGTCCCAAAAGACTAAAAATATTTGAAGACCCCGTGAGTGTTTTATTTATCACAGTAAAACCTCAGTGTCTAGACACAGTGGGAGCTCAGTACATTTTTATTAGTGGTAAAGAGAAGAATGATATAGTTCTTGCCCTCAAGCTGAAGACATACAACTCTCTGAGGCAGTAGGAGAAAAAGCCAACAATCAGAGTTGAAAACTCCATAATAGAAGTTCAGTGACTTGAGTGTAAGCTGGAGAGTCAGCAAATGCCTTAAGTGGGGCATGTGCTTTGAGCTAAGTTTTAAAGAAAGAATGTAGTTAAATCAATGGGGGATGGAGGGAATCAGAGTTTAGAGTTTGAACCCTGGCTTCACACTTACTAGTTATTTTGTATGAGTTATTTAACTCTCTAAGCCTCAGTTTTATCATCTATAAAATGGGAATATTCATCTCTTCCTCAACTGGTTAAGTAAGAATCAAGATAAGTATGTAAAGAGCTTAGCATAGTGCTTATTAGTACATAAACAGCTGTCAACAAATGGCAGATTTTTATCACTGCTGAGGTTATTATTGATGTTTTTGTTTTTGTGCTTAAAGTAACCAGCAGAGAGAGGTGTGGGTTTTCACAAAAGGTGACTAGCTACATAGTAACCAATATTTCATAATCATTCTGAAGAATAGAGTGGAGAAATAAATGGAGTCACTATAGTCAAACTGCTAAATTACTAGTATCAAGTCAGTTGAGGCACGAGGAAATGATTCTATTCTTGTTTTAACTGGCCTGAAAACAAACATTTGAACTTTTTAGTCCTGCATCAATGCCTGGATATATTCCAATTCATTGTGTCAATACCTGGACATACGCCAGTACTCCATATAATGCCTGAAGGACTCATGTATCCAGACTACTGACATAGACCTGACATCTATTATCCAGACCACAGATGTGACCCAAACTCCTGGTGCCTATCTTCTAGACCACCTGGCATCCATCATTCAGATCTCCTGACATCTAACTGATAACTACCTTGGACCAATCCTAAGGCTAAGAATGCAGAACTGATAATTCTGAAGATGTACTTTTCACTATAAGCACTCTTAACTTTTCTTTCTTCTTTGGAACACTTCTGGGTTCTTGCCTGGTTGTGTTTTTGGTTTGCAAACCCTAAGACCCTTGAATAAATCTTTGTCATTTATTTCCAGCCAAAGCCTCCAGACTATTTGTAAGTTCGTTCGATAATTCTTTTTTGAATCAAATTATTGCCACAGCTGACTAGGAGTGCTGAATTATTTAAGTATATGTATGGAGATGTCTTAAACTTTTATTTTGTCAAATCAACCATTCTAGCAAAGGTCTGTACCGATGGTTCAATCACAGCTTTCAGTTACAAGACATGTGATTCCCTTTCCTACTCAAACATCAATTAAGTAATACTTGCCTCTTGTGTCCTGGGGGCCATAGTCACAGAGATGATCTGTATTGTTCATCTTATTTAGCTCCTAAGCCTCAAGTTGTGGTCAAGGAAAGCTCCAAGATCTAGAGTTCTCCCTTGAATTAAGAGTTTTCTCTATGGAAACTCCTCAGAATTTGTTTCTGTATCTACATCTTAGAACTTGACTTTCCTTTTACTGAAAAGAGTGTCAATACATTCCCTATTACCAAATGCTAAGCAAGTGCCAGGCATTATTTTAAGTGCATTACATGGTTTGAGTCATGTAACCAGCATTACAGCCCCTATGATGTTGGAAGCTGAGTAAAGTAACTTGCCTGTGATCATGAAGCTGGTAAGTGGTAGAGCTGGATCCAAATCCAGGCTGACTAGCTCCCTGCTTTTAACACTACATTGCTTCTTATCAAATACCTTTATGAAATGTTTCTTATATTTACACCCTTTCTATCCATCTTCACCGAAGCCACATTCCAGTATGTCTTAGATACATCATTACAATGGCTTCTGAGTTTGTTTTTCTGCTTCCAATTTCTCTCTGATCATCTCTGGGTATCACTACCAGATTAATTTTATTAAAACACCCGTTTCATTGCGTCACGGTTCTGACCAAGAAACTACATTTTTTTATTGTGGTAAAATATACATAATATTTATAATTTTAAACATTCATAAGTGTATAGTTAAGCAACATTAAATACATTCACAATGTTGTGTAACCATCATCACTATCTCTACCCAAAACTTCTTCATCATCCCAACAAAAACTCTACCCATTAACCAATAACTCCCTCTTCCTCTAGCACCTGGTAACCTCTATTCTACTTTCTGTGTCTATGGATTTGCCTATTCAAGAAACTACATTTTGCAAACCATATCTTCTCCCTAATTTTTCAGGTCTCTCCATAATTTGACCACAATCTATTTCATCTTATTTCTTCATGTTTCCTAACACACATTCTCCAATGTAAGATCTATTTTCTTGACACTCTATTCTCTCAACCACTGTAATTATATCTATAGTCATTACCACACAGTTTGGCATGTTTAACATTGAGTGTTAGAGCTGGATTGAATCTCATAGGTCTGATAGTTCAATCTCATTTTACAATCTAGAGAGCTTAATAACTTGCTTGAAGCCACACACAGTTGATGGCAGAGATGGGATCTAAACACAGAATCCAAGTCTTTTAAAACAATTTAAAACTACCGTTTATAGAGCATTGACAATGTCTCAGACACAGTACTGAGCTTTTAACATTGTATTCTCAAAAAAGTCCTGGGCAGGCTTTATCATTATCATCATCTTTTTTTTTTTTTTTTAACAGAGATCAGCCTTTTATTGAATGTGTTACAAAAGGCTTAATCAAAAAGACCAAAGCCCATGTCATCATCAGACTCCTCAGATTCTTTTCTTTGCTTCCACTTTCTTTTCCTCAGCTGGGGCAGCGGTGGTGGAGGGGGCAGGACCTCCTGCTGGTGCAGCACTAGCTGCTGGGGCAGGTCCACCAGCCCCCACATTGCAGACAAAACTCCCAATGTTGACATTGCCAGAGCCTTTGCAAACAAGCCTGGCCAGAAAGGTTCAGTATTTACACCAGCTACTTTAATGAGGGCACTGATCTTATCCTCCGTCGCCTTCACCTCCTCGTCTTGCAAGATAAGGACCGAGCAGATAGACACCCGCGAGCTGCGAGAGGGAGGCCACGGTGTGGGCGAGGGGTGGGCGAGCGCTGCCGCGAGCGGTGCCAGTCGCCTGGCCAAGCGAGGGCCTCCCGCCAGCGCAGCCTTAGCTTCCTCGGAAGAACCCAGCGCCTTACTGGCAGCTGGGGAAAGGAGCCATCATCATTATTATTATAATTTTCTATCCTGCAGATGAGGAAAAATCCCAGTTCAGAGAGGCAATTTGTTTACTCTCATGAGTTTGCCATCTTTTAATAATTAAGTATAGTCTTGATTTTTCCTACGTGCATGAATCTTTTCTTCTCCACACTTAGGCAGTAAGTCCTCTGAGAGCAGTGACCATGTCTTTCCTAGCCCGGCGGAACCCTAGCATCAGGCTGCATTCCGGTTCTTCAGGAAATAAACATACAGATGAACTGGTTGGTGTGCGCGGTTTGGGGGAGGATTTGCTTCAGTCTTGGCACATTTTAAACACAAAGGATCTGGGTAATGACCACGACAACACAAATACCTCCAATGAATGCAAAAGCGTCTTGACATCCCAGTGCTGCCGCAGGGTTGCATTAATTAAACTACGGTTTGCCGGCTCCAGCGCCGAACAATTGACAAAGCTGCACTTCAAAAGCCGCGTTTAGGTTCCGTCCTTCCACTCAGGCGGGGCCGTTTACCTGTGGAGGTCGGAGCAAGATTGGAGCCACTCGAGTTGGTGGTCACCGCTGCGTCTGGCGCAGGTTTCGTTTGGTTTGGTTTGGGGTTCACATTTCAGCCAAGCCTTGGGGTAGGCGAGACCTGAGTTCTCGTTGGGTCAGGGTTGCCAAGGTGGAGCCCGGAGCTCAGCCCCATCCATCTTTTGGAAATTTGGCCCGGGACTCCCGAGGCACTTAGCCCCCTCACAAAGATGGCGCCGAGCCCGGGCTGAGCCAATGGGGAGTGGCGTTGCTCCCGGTTGCCTAGGTAACAGCCAATAGGCAGCGGGAATTGTGCCCAGTGCGGCCGCCGGGCATGGCGGCGTCTAGAGGGGCAGGCGCCGGTGGAGGTGGCGGAGAAGCTGGTGGCAGGAGCGAGCCCGACCGAGCGGAGGGAACGTTCGGGCCGCTGGAACCCCACGCCGGGGCGTGACGGTCATCCCAAAAGGCGGAGCCCAGGTTGGCTGGCAGCGCGGAGGAGAAGGCGCCGGGAGGGTGTGGCCGGTGAGGAAAGGACTGAGGAGCCCAGCCCGACATGACTGGGGTTGGAGAGCGAGGTTCCTTGCCCCACGCGCTGACCGGAGGGCGGCTCCCCCGGGGTCCCATACTCGGGCCTCTAAGTCGCCACCGCCGGGGGCCGAGGCCTGGGAGAGCCCACGGCAGCCGGGTTAGCCAGCGGGGTGGGTGGGGACGGCAGACCGGGGCGAGCAGAGTCCCGCCCGGGCGGGAGAGCAGACCCGAGGTGGAGGGCAGGGGCGGTTCTGGAAGGCAGGGGCGGGGGGCTGAAGGAAAGGGGAGGTCGACCGGGAAGTGTTGCCTTTTGCCACCGAGGGCTTTGTTTGCTCTGGGCCCGCCTCTCCCGCAAGGTGATGGAGAGACGTCCCGCACGTCGAGGTTTGGAGCAATGGGATGCCTCAGTTGGTTGATGGTAGGTAGCATCCCTGCAGTCCAGCGTGTCCAAACTGCTTAGGGATCAGCAGGAGGAACCCGGCTGTATTAGCACCCGGACCGGGCATTTTCCTTAACCATGAAATAGAATACTCTCCTGGCAGCCCCCATGATGCCTAAGTCGTCTTTTTATTTGTATTTGTATTTTTTACCTTTTTTGTTATCAGGATTTTCTTCTCAGGTTCTTCATTCTAACCATCCCACAGTCTTCCTAAATAAGACCTTTATCTATTAGCAATACATTTGTTTACTTCTCTAGTGGAAGGGAGTCTTACAGGAAAAGAGACTTGACTTATAACTAAAAGTTATTTCAAGTTCATTTTAAAACACTTTAAAAAAGAACTTTGACTCTTTGTTCTAGGTTTCTTCTTTGTTCATCAAAGCCTTTGTTTTCTTCTCTAGGATTGTAAAAGCCTAAGAACTGCTTTCTTGATAACTGAAGAAACTTTGACAAGACTGTCATACTTTGGGGAGGGTAGCTTGGGAAGGGGACAGTGTTAAAGGTATATGTGGGTAGTTAGGATTGCTGCCTCCAAACAATATTCTTTTTAATAAAAAAAAAAAATTTAAAGACAGAGAAATATCACTTTGTTCCTCTTATTTATGTATTCATTGTTGATTTTTATATGTGCCCAGATCAGGATCGAACCTGCAATCTTGGCCTTTTGGGATGAGCTCTAACCAACTGAGCTACCCGGCCAGGCTCCAAACAATATTCTTAAACTGAAAATCTATTCCTCTTTATGTTAGGTTTTTTGTTGTTGTTTTTTTAGTCCTCTGAATTTGGACACAGGTTACTATGAATGCATAAATATTTTTTTTTAAACAAGTTTGGTTTCTAAAATTAAAAAAAGACAAATGGAATGGAGACAAAAGTTATTCCTTTCTTCAACTTCTATGTGGAAATGTCTAGGTCAGGAGAAAAGAAAGACAGCAGGGATATAGTCTGTTGTGCAGACTAATAGTGTATTAGTTTACAGGGACAAAAGAGTCATTTCCTTTTAGATAAATGTTTGGATTGATTCTTTGCAATCCATCCAACAAGACGAGAAAGGGTAGGTATCTGTTTAGAAGAAGCATGAATGATCTTGACTTTGTTATTAGATTCTATATGTATAGCCAAAGCCTAAAGTCATAGGCCATCTATTTTCTGTAAAAAGATTTTTTGAATAACTAGTACAAATACTGATTTGCATCCTTTTTAAAGTATTGGTTTTTCAGTCTCATTAGCACTGACTATACTTTATTAAACTAGATTTGTCTCAGTGACCATGGTAATTGGTGAAATTTTTTTTCTGGATTAGTAGCCATGCATCTGAGTATTATTTAGCATGCCTAATTACAGAAATCATAAATGAAAATCCTAACACTGTCTCAGGCAGTGACAATATTAATTATTTGGACATAGGTAGAAGTTTCTAGTCAAATGTGTTTAACCATGGTGTGTTCCCTTTAATTAGCACTTCTGATTGTGTTCTTGGGAATGGACTTTATTTCGACAAGCAGTTATTGAAGGGAGTTTGCTATATCTCTCTAGATAAAAAAGGAATGGAAATTTTTAGTACAGTATGTACTTTTGAAAACAATGGGAGAGGATGGTGGCAGGGTTATGTTGAAAGATGATGTTCCCCTTCTTTCAGAGACCTCCTACTGGTCCCTCTGAAACAAGGTGGGATTCCACTATTTGGGAGTTTCGCATGGCCTTGAGAAAGAGTAAACAAGAGGCTACTCCCCCTGAGCCCCTGTGTAGTCAGCCTGACTCCTCAAATCACACTGCAATAACTCCTTCCAAAGTTTTGAGTGAAGACAAGTTAACTGCTGCCTAACATTTAAAGGCAACGCCCGTATCTTCTGTATAAATAATGCTTTTGTGTTTATATTTTGGAATAGTTGTTTACTCGTAAGATTTAGTAGAAAATACAGCCTTTCAGATTCTGACTTGTTTTGAAGGAATGAGATAGTTCAGATTTGTATCATAAGCTGATTTTTAGTACTCTGACTTAATTTGTTCTGGGAAGAGCTGAAGATGACCTCTAGCTATCACAACGCCTATCCAGACTGGAAAGAGTTTTCCCTGGCAGTTTTGATGGAAAACTGTTTCTCTTCCTCTCATTAATGTTGCATTTGCGACGGAATCATGTTGACCTTTACCCCAGGCACACACTGATACTGGGCTGACGATAAGAGGATTGTGCGCCTGAAATTGGATACTTACCTTGTGGAACATTGATGGGACAGAGATGGAATCACCTCTCTGAGAAAATAGCCCCAGAGGTTTGAGGGGCTTTAAGACAAGAAGAAAATGATCCTTTTTTTTCAGCTGCCTTCTATTACATGAAAGACCCTGGACATGGAGTTTCTGAGTAACTAGAAAAATGAGGAAGTCCCTGATTGATGAACCTGTGAGATTGATTCCCAAACATCTCTAGAAGCACTTCCACAAAGCTGGCCATCATTATGGGGGTAGAAATGAATGTTCCTCCGTGTTTGGGTGAGACCACAGGGGGTCTCAGAACTCATCTATCCTCATAGCTGGGATGAAACTAGAGCTCTCAGACAGAGCCAGACCTTGAAGATGTGACTGGGCCCTGCTCTCTTCAGGCCAGGCTGATTTCACATCAGACCATTCTGGGCATGCGGCATCTGTATCAAAAATTATTTTGACATAGGCCAAAATTAAAATATCCCATAGGGTATTGATAAAGAACAGATGGGTGGCAACTGTAGTTTGCATTTCCTCTACATAGTATTTATCTCATTAATTAAAATTGCTGACTTTTTTTCCAAAATGCTATTCAAATTATGTTGGTAGCATTTTTATACTGAGACTTTAGAGAAATTTCCATTATAGCAAGTGTGTGAGTATAGGTGTCTCTTTGAAGGAGGAGAACATTGAAAAGACAGGGCTACACAGTGTCCTGGGTACTTTCCTGTATGTTATTTTATTTAATCCACATGCCAACTCTGTGAAGTAGGCATGTTATCTCTACTTTATAGAGGAGGAGACTGAGGTTCAGAGACACTTAAATAAGTTACTCAAGGCTACACAGTGAACCAGGCTCTGAACCCAAGTCCTTATGCTATAAGGGTCCACAACACCACTATATTATACTGGGAGATGGATAGGATAGGATAGGATAGGATAGGATAGGATAGGATAGGATAGGATAGGATAGGATAGGACAGTGTTTAAGAATGTGGACCCTAGAGCCAACTGTCAGGGTTCTGATTCTAACTTGCACATGTTAGCTGGGTGACTTTAGTTAACTTACCCTCTCCCCACCTCAGTTTCCTTATCTGTAAAGTGGAAATAATAATAATAATGCCCACCTCATAAAGTTGTGAGATAAAATTAGGTAAAGTGTTTTAAAAACAATTATGACACATATTAAGGAGTCAGTAAATGTTAATTGCTGTTATGAAGGTATTTCAAGTAGCTTCTCTGGAGCTACCTCAGGTGGTTCTAAAGGGTTGTGTTGGCTGACGTGGACTATAAATAACTCAGCACTGTCCCCCACCACCATTTGGAGAAAACAATGTACATCTTATTTTAGTTGAACATTTAAAGCATCATTTTTGTATAAAATATGCCAGAGCCCTCTGGTACTATGGAACCCACTCTTTGTAACCCCATCTTGATTTTCCATGATGGACACACCGTTACAGTGTTTACCATTGTATGCGATTTGGGCTTCTCTGCGACTTGAAGGAAAGGATGCTGGCAGTTGGCACCAGGCCCGCAGGGATTTAAAAAGGAAGCTAGCTGTTGGCATCAGGCCCATAGAGGTTTTTAAAAAATTATCCTCCAGGTCTGGCCTCAGTGCTCTGAATAAGAGGTGCACTTGTCCTGTTGGAACTTAGTCAAGTGCCTGAGGGTCAGACTCTAGGTTAATTATTAATAGCAGGGCCTTTCAACAGTGGTTTATAGATCAGAGAGCTCTTCACACACACTCTTTCCATTTGTTGGAGTAGTAGTCCACCTACTTTCGGGTGTGTAAGAATCTAATGATATACTTGTTAACACTGCAGATTCCCAGGTCTAACTGTACAGAACCTGATTCAGTAGATCTGGGTGTGGGCCTAGGACTATGCATTGTCACAGTCACTTGAGAAAACATCGTATTACTTCATTCTGGAAAAAATGAAGGGGTGAGTCAAAAAGACTTAGGGATTTAAAGTGGAAATAGGGATTGCATTTTAAAAAATATGTCAAGTGAATCTGTGTATCTCTGTTTATAGTTAATGATTTTGGGGGTATCTTAAATCCCTTTTTTATAGTATATCTTTGAATATAAACATTCTTTTACCACTCATGTGAAGTCATACCTAGCCAGTCTTCAGTTGTTATTGGGTGATGGTGGTGTTGGCTTTTTCCTATGACATATCTGTCATAGTTATTCCTTCTGCTCCTATTACCCTGTTATTCCCCTACCTCGGGCCTTATGATCTCATGTCTGGGTATATTAGTTTAGCTTTTGCTGAGTAATGCAGCACCCCAAAACATAGTGGCTTAAAACAACCACCATTTCTTTAGTCTGTGATTCTGTGGGCTAGTAATTTGGGGCTGGGCTCAGAAGAACAGCTCTCTGGCCTTGTCTGAGCTCACCAAGGCATCAGTGGTCAGCTGGGACACTGCTCCATGTGGCCTCTCATCATCCAGCAGACTAGCCTGGGCTTATTCACATGGGGACAGAACAGTTCCAAGTGCAGCAAGAGGGCAAACCCAGTGTACAAGTGCTCTTCAACCTCTGTTACGTCACCTTTGCTGATGTTCCATTAGTTATCTAACCCTCCCGTGTCCAGTGGGTGGAGGAGTAAACACAGGTCCTCCTAATGGGAGGATCTGCCATGACACATTGCAAGGGCATGGATGGAGGGAGAAAAATTTCTGCTCATTTTCACAAGCTCCTGAATTATCACAACTCCTGACTTGCCAGCCTCTCTGGCTGTAGGTTTTTGCTGCTCCAACCCATTCTGCTTACTGCTGCCAATTTCATTTTCCTTAAACTTTGCTTTCATCATATTACATCCCTGTTCAACACTCCCACCCCCTGAAGCTTTTTCTTTACCCACCTTATCAGCTATAAACTCTTTTGCCTATCTGTCAAACGTCTCCTTACGCTCACCTGACCCTAAAAGCAGAGCGCATGGTAATGATTTTGAAAAAGGGCTAGCAGAGTCAGGGGAGGCCTGGGTACTAGTTCCAGCTTGGTCACTGACTAGCTTTTAACTCTCTGGGCTTTTCTTTCTCTGTCTATAAAATGAAGGAGTTTGGATTAAACCTGAGAAGGTGTGCTTTTTTTTCCAAATTTAAGGTTTAGGTGAGTGTACTTAGACAAATTTATTTCCTATTCTCCCTAAATATACCTCAACTCAAGTAAGACCTGGCTTCTTATTTTCCTACTGAACATCTTGTGTTCATGTTGCTCTTTGTGCTTTCATTCTCCACGTCTTCTCAGTCTGCAATTGCCCTTTGCCTTCTTCACTGCTCGTTTTAAATTCTGCCTGCTCCTTGGTTAATCTCTGCCATCCAATTTGGCACTTAATTATTTCTCATATTATTCAGTGTTTTGATTGTTAGTCTTATCAACTAGATTATAAACTCATTGAAGAGAGATACTGTATTTTACACTTTGACTAAGTATGTAGTAGGTATCAAGCAAATATTTGTAGATTAATCCTAAATTTCCATCTCAGGTAATAGAAAGTTGGAACTGGCTGAAAACTTGAAAGACAAGTAGGAAGATAAGACTGCTTGGGCAGAGGTGGTGATGGTGATGGTTGGAGAGGTGGGTAGTTCTGTTAAATGTATTCAAGGTAATATACATTCACCGAGCTGGTAGCCTTTAGGATGTATCTACAGAGTTGCTTTGCAGGCCTTTCCTCCAGCCATCCTGTGACTGGTTCTCCTCTGCTTGTGTCCTGCAGTTTTCATCCTTCTGTAAGCTGCCACCATGACCCTGACAAAAGCTTCCTTCACCTACTCCAGTGGGGAGGAATATCGTGGCGAGTGGAAGGAGGGTGAGAGGACCCCTGAGGGTATCCAGTGATGAACATTTGGCTGAAGGACAATACCTCAGGATAAATAAGCCAACTTTTTGCATCTTCAGGTCTAACTGCAAGATTTAATATGATAGTGCCTTTCCTTTATTCAATTTTAGAATTATAAATAAAGGAATTTAAAAATACTGTTAATTCAACCTCCAGAAGTAAGTTAAATTTTTCTACTTCTAAATTGTGTTTTAACCCTTTTATCTTTTAGTGATGTTATTTGGAAATTGCTTTTCTAAACAGTAATGTACCCAGCAGAGTAAAATGAATTATTTTTAGTGCCCATAAGTCAGAAAATAAAGAATTTATTGCAAGGACTCGATTCCAGTGAATCAAGAATTTAAGGAAATTAGGGCAGACACACAAGAGCAAGTGACATTCATTGCCTTGAGTTTCCTGTGACAGTTCATTACATTTGGAAGTATCTATTCTTAGGAATGGTGAAATTCTTCAGAGCCTGAGACTATACAGGAATTAGTTTAATGATGTTCAGTTTGGAAATAGTCTGGCCACTTTAAAAGTCCCATGGGTCCAGTCCTAGCAAGCCAGGAACTACCCCAAGGAGACAGTTGTACCAGTGAAGAACATTTTACAGTTTCCAGGCATGGGCCTCATTCTTTTCACGGTAGATCCTGCAGCTGATGAATTCTTGAGCCTTGAGAGGAGAAATTATGCAGATGGGATGTGATTTTGCTTCTGTACATCTCCAGCCTTTTCTCCTGCCTCCCAAATGCCTGCCTGTCCCCTTTAATATGACCTTTAGAGGAGAGACTTCCTGAGGCTCTGCTGGGGAGCCTCTGTCCACGAATAGAACTACCTCTGCTCTGTTTGAAGAACATAACTGCTCCTCCTGCATCTTGCTCTGCTTTCTGGTCGGTGCAGTGGATGAGCTCAGCCCTGCTGATGTAACAGAGCTCAAGCCAGTGTTGCCAGTCTGGCTGATAAGTTTGCACAGTAGCTTCATGATGCTAAGCGGTAGACTTTTGTTTTTCTCAGAGTGGCAATGTAGTTAAGTGTTGAGGGCTGTCAGGTCAGGCTGCCTGTTGTGTTTGCATTCTCATTCTACCATTTAATTGCTCTGGGATCTTGAGTAAGTTATTTAGCTTCTTTTTGCCTTGGTTTCCACATCTTTTAAATGGGAATAATAATAGTACTGTGCCTACTTCATAAGGTTGTCATGAGGATTAAATAAGATGATAAATACAAAGTGCTTAGGAGAGTGCCTGGAACATAGTAAGGCACTATGGGCTGTTTTTAAGTACTCTCTCTCTCTTTTTTTTAAATTTTTTTAAATATATCTTTATTGATTTCAGAAAGGAAGGGAGAGGGAAAGAGAGAGATTGAAACATCATTGATGAGAGAGTCGTCATTGATTGGCTGCCTCCTGCACACTGACTGGGGATCGAGCCCGCAACCTGGGTATATGCCCTGATCAGGAACGGAACCACAATCTCCTAGATCCTAGGTTGGTGCTCAACCGCTAGCCATGCCCGGCTGGGCTTTAAGTGCTCTCTTATCTTTCATATTTAGAGAGACCTGCTCCAAATCTGATGGTTGTGACATAAGATGGGAAGGTCACAGGAATCAGGTTATTACTCTGGGTATTAGTTCTCTGCCCTGGTAATGTCACTGCTTCTCTGCTTTTGTTTGTAGGTTGAGTGATGGAAGGCAAGGGATGTTAGACAGTGAGAGGGGACCCAGAAGCTGCCCCATCCCAACCTGACACCTGTCCTTCTCTTTGCTCAGGCCGCAGACATGGTTTTGGTCAACTGATGTTTGCAGATGGTGGCATCTACCTGGGTCATTTTGAGAATGGGCTCTTCAGTGGCTTTGGGGTACTGACCTTCTCAGATGGCTCAAGGTGGGTACTGGGTCATTCTTTTCTCAGCCTTAAACTAGGGAGACTCTGATCTAAAAATGATAGTGATAAATATCTGGTCAAACCAGGGCTTGTCGCAGGCCCTCTGAAAACATGAAAGGAGTAAGCATTCGTTTTTTATTGGTTATTTTATAAATAGATCTAAAATTTGAAGTGAGCGACCTTCCACCCCACCATTGTTCTGTTATTTCCTTGAGATTAGGGCCTCACATCATACATACTCTCTGACCCTTCTCTGCTGCTTGGGAGTGGGGTAGGTGGACCTCTGAGATGAATGGAATTAATAAATGGCACATATTAGTAGCTGCTTGACTCAATTAACCTGGACAGCTCACTACCCCTCTAAAGGCTAACATCTTGTGTTTCTGCAGGTATGAGGGGGAGTTTGCCCAGGGCAAGTTTAATGGCGTTGGAGTCTTCATTCGATACGACAACATGACCTTTGAGGGGGAATTTAAAAATGGCAGAGTAGATGGTTTTGGTAAGTTGCAGCCCAGCAGGATGGGAGAGTAGGTGAGCATAATATGGGTGGAAGTACACCTTCTTAGCTTTGATCCTTCTGTGGATGCCCAGCAGTCCATAGTGATGGTGCCCTAATGCCTGTCTGTTCATTGAACTTATGGACAGAGTACTCCTGAGAAGGGCTTCGAGGTTTTCTCTTCCTTGACCTCTACCTGTCAAGCTGATCTCTGAGTCATCAATCTCGTTGCCACTCCCATATTTCTTCTGTCCCCCTCCAAGGCCTGCTGACATTCCCTGATGGGTCCCATGGAATACCCCGCAATGAAGGTCTTTTTGAGAACAACAAGCTGCTGCGTCGTGAGAAGTGTTCTGCAGTCGTTCAGCGGGCCCAGAGCGCCTCCAAGTCAGCCAGGAATCTCACCGCCTGACGGGGCATTGTGCACCAGCTGACAAGTATTGAGTAGAGCAGAAGCCCCATTATTCACTCGAGGTGAACAGATGAACCAGAGGTGAGAGGAGGAGAGATGACCTTGGAGCAGAAGCCTTGTGCTGTGCCCCATCACCTGCCAGTCAGGGATGCAACCACAGAGAAGTTCTGAGGACTCTGGCCCCAGGTCCTGCAGCAGTGGTTAGCGGTTATGTCTCTCCCTTGTCTCATTGTTGGTACTCTGTCCCTGCCACCCTGGGTTACCCAGGGCAGACCTGTTGCTGCCTTCTACTTCCTTTCTGCCAAGTGATACAGAATCCCTCCTTTATTCTGCTTATATTTAGGGTCCATGATCCAAATATATTCCCTGTGTAAAGGATTAGGTAAAAGTGCTATTTCCCTTTCCCTGACTTTACAAGCTGTCTTCCTTACCTGAGTTCTAGCAGATACTCCCCATTTGTGCCTCTCTCCTTCATTATACATGGGACAGGATCCCTTTATGGGATAGTGAAGAAAGGAACTGATGTAAACAGTCATAACTTGTATTTATTACTTACTTCAGAGCAAAGGGCAGACCTTTCCGGGCCATATCAAGCCCTACCATGGAGTGAACTGAATTCTTAGGGCTGACATAGCTCCTTCCCCAGGGACCAGTAGTGTAGGTAGAATTGGGCCCATCCTAGAACCGTGGTGAACTAAACAAGCATTTGGCTCCTTGCATTTGGTTCACTATAACTCTTCCACCACAAGCCTTGGCCATCGGGCCTGGGGATCAGATCTTGACTGATAGGATCCCTGCACAATTCATCACGGAGGCCTCCAGTTACCCTTCGACCCAGACACACCCCACTCCACCCCACCCCCTTATCCTCACACTGAAGGTCTCAAGAGCAGATGGTGGTGGAAATCAGCCGTGTGCCTCTATCTATTCTCTGAATCGTACTGTAGAAACAAATGTTTATGGGGAATGAACAAATCACCAGAACTGCCTATTCTCAGTTTTCTTGACTTTCTTGCTCTGCGTCCTCATGAATATTAACCCATTTGCTGTTTCTAAAAATGAATCACAGATGGGGGCTTGGAACTGACGCTGCACACTTTACTACATATATCATCTGATTCTCAAAACCTCTCCACTATGGGAGCATTTTTAAAAATCAAACCAGTTTAACTAATGTCACCTCAATAAATTCAATTAAAAAAAATCAGACAGGCTCAAGTAGCCCAAACTAGTGGCAGAGCTGGGTGGGATTTGTTTCCTGATCTTTCTGATTCCAAAGCACTTTCCCCTATACTCTCCTCTCCCTGAGCATCAGAATACCCAGATCCTGAGACTAGTTACTGTCATACCTGCTAGGTTACCATAGGCAAGTCAGTCCTGCCTGGGCTTCCCCTTCTCTGTACTTTCCCTGCCACGCTAACCCTTTTACACACCTGGTCTTGACAGTCCTGGAGAAAGGTGCTATTACTATCCCCATGCTACAGATGAGGCTCAGGGCAGTTAAGTAGTTTTCCAAGATCCTGTAGACACTAAGGGGCAGATCCAAGAACTTCAACCCAGGCCTCTGTAAGGCCAGGGGTTGAGCATTTCGCCAGTACACTAGCCTGCCTCCCTGGCCCTAACTTTTTGGCCTATCCCTGAACCTGATTCTCCTCTGAGCTCAGATCCTCTAGAAGTTGCCTGTGAGAAGAGTCCAGGTTCTAGTGCCAAGTTTCAGTGCCAGCCAGATACCCAGTTTCAGTTGAAGACTGATACTTTTTCTATTTTCTCCTAGCCTTTGCCCTAAGCAAGAAACCTGCTTACCTTTCTGTGAACCAGAGTAATTTAAAAAAATTCATCTCAAGTTTTCTGCCATTTGTCATATATCACTGAGTAAGGTTAAACATGTTGGAGAAAGCAGCCTTTCTGATTAATGTGCTAAGTGTTTTTCTAAATATCAGTTGAACCTTCTTACCTCTCCCATTTAAAACTTCAATAAGCCTTATCCTAGGTTGTCACTAATTTAATGCCTGTGTTTACTCAGTATTGTGAGGGCCTTTCTCAGAGCCAGGGAAAAAGCAGACCTTGAGAGCTAAATTGCTTCTAGGTAGGTTCTCAACATCTGGGCAGGAAACCTAAGAACTACAGAGCAGCGGACTATCAACCTCTACACAGCCACACTAGTTTAATTTATTAAACTTTATTGCAATAACAAAGTAATTATTTTTAACAATAAAAGCAGAGTGCCTATAGGCAAGAGGATGGTCCTGTCTCAGGCCAAGCCCCCTTTCCTAATGTTTCAGACCTGTGTTGATAAAAATCCTCTAGAATGTAACATTTATCCACTAGGTGTCATTATTTACCAATTCTGGGTTGTCTCTGTGCACTTGAAATTTGAGATCAAAGCTAGAGACAAGAATATGCAATGAATCAAAATGGATTTAGGAAAGGGCACTGTGGCTGGAATGCATCTTGGGGGCGGGGGGGAAGGCTTTCAAAGACAAGTGACATTTTTCTGATCACATCCCCAGAAAGAGTCAGAACGGGGATTCTTAGAGTAGCTTCCCCTGCTTGTGCTAGAATCAGGTTTGTATCCTCAAGTCTAAGTAGTCCTCCCTTCAGATACACAGCCCTCCTGTGCCCAGCTGCCTCTACCCTTCCCCTCTTGCTCCTGGCTCACGTCTCTTGGGGCATAGGAAACTACAGTAGAGAGACAGTAAGCATTCGCTCATGCCCAGACTGAAGGTCTCTAGAGACTCAGAGTTTAGGATACAAATTCAAGAAGTCATGGGGTTGTAAGAAAAGGAAATGAGCATGCATGGCACCTAGTGAGAGGCACCTGAAGGACAAGTAGGAAAGGGAGCCACGAACCCTCTTGTTCCCATGTTCCTCTCTGGCTGCAGGTACAAGTCGAGCTGAGATGGGTTCCTGCCTGTCCTTTCCTTGCCCTCAGAGCCAGCCATTGTTGGTGAAATCCAAGCGCAGCACCTCCTCCTCATCAGGGCTCAGCTCCTGCAACGGGGCCCGGCAGGGGCCTCCATAGTAGCCAAACCAGTCCATGGTTTTCTTCAGCCCCGGGATCCCGAAGCGCCGCGTCACCTGAGAAGCAGGGCCTGTTAGAAGAGACTGGGGAGTCCCTACACAGATACCCTCAGGACCCAGACATATGTCACTCTTAGAAAGTTGGGGTTTCTACCTTTCTCTCCCATTAAAATAACTCTCTCAAATCTGTGACACCCAGGGTAGATTGGGAATCCAGATTGAGAGACCAGAAGGCAAGCTGGCAGTAGAGAACACAATGCCAAAACCTCAAATTAAGAAAGACACCTCCTTTGGTTTGGGGAAAAAAATCCACCAGTTGGGGAGGAGAGAAAGCAACACTGCAGGTCTGGACTTAGAATATGACTGGTCCGCAGCTTAGTTCCCTGGAATCTGACCCAGGGCATGGCAGGCCTGGGAAGTCAGGCATAGCCAAAATCTCTACTGGCCTGTTCTAAATGCTCTCACGGGAAAAAGAATGAATCTTTGTCCAAAGAAGTTTGTTTCATTGTATAACCTTACATCATTAACTTAGTAGCTCTGAGCAAGTTCTCTTGTCTAAAAAAAATGAGAGGACTGAACATGATCTCTAAAATCTTTTCCATTGTCATGAGGGACCTAAGGCTACTGTCAATTTAAAGTCATGCATGGAGTTTTACAGAAAATCATGCATCAAATTTCTGTGCTTTTAGCATAGCAACTGCTTATTTCATGCTGATCAGAAGTGTTAGATGAATCTTTGACTTCCTAAAAAACTAGGAAAGTAATCATTACTTAATAAAGTTTTATTTGGAAGGAAGGAAAAACCGTAGAAGTATGGGCTTTATGAAGGGTAAAAATTAAAAAAACAAACAAAAAGGTTGTTTGGGGTGAAAAGATTGGCAACCTGATGAAAGATTGACTTATAACTAATAACTATTCACCACTAGAGGCCAGTAGGTGTTAGCAAGACTCTTCCCAGGCCTGGCCCTAGCCAGCTGTGGTGTTCTAATAACCCGGGCATTTCACCCAAAACCTGAGTAGGGTGGGAAAGGCCTAGGGGAGAGAGTAGACACAAGAAATACCTAGAGAAAAGCTTTCTCTCATCACAGGTGCCTGAAGACCTCTGATTTTCCCCTCTTCAGACCCTGAGAAAGGGTTGAATGCTTTGGTGGTAGAGTGTGGAAAGTCCTAAATATAGCCAGGGCACGAGGCTGGCTGGGTGAGAAGGCTAGAAAGGACATTGTGTCCAAGCAGGGCAGGGAAATAAGGTGACATCAAGCTGCTCTTGAGGGTGGTTGAGCCTACAGCCCAGGCAGCAGAAAGGTGTTCCAGGAATTCCTGAGTGTGTGCCCAGAGCTGGCAGAGGAGGAATTCCTCAGGGTAAGGCAGGATGGCATGCAGAGCATTGGATGGCAGCAAGCATCCTCTCTTCCCAAGAAGCAGCCCAAGCTGCTTCATCTATAAGGTGGCATGATAGCAACACTTACCTCATGTCACATGAATTGAATGAGAAAAATGCCACTATTATACCAGACCCCAAAAGCCCCAGAAGCTTCTCTTCATGTCCTAGTGGTACACGGGTTCTGGGACCTTCTCTCTTGCAGGTGGATGGGAGTGGGACAGCAGAGGTCCCATCCCAGTGGAATGTCCAGTACAGTACAACCTGTGCCCTGATGGGGCTCAGCTGAAAGGCCCTCATTTCTGCAGTTCTTACTTCCTATTTACAGAGCATCCTATCCCAGGAGAACCTTAATATCCAGGAAGACTCATGCTTGCCTCCTCAGCTGTCCTTTCTCTATGTCTGAGTTAATTTGCTCTTTGAGGTAAAGTCATAAACTGAGGGAGATCTGGAGCCTGCCCATCACTTTACCCAAATGAAAAACATTGCCTAGCTCAGTCTGGGAAGCCTAAGGGAGTGCCAAAAAACTCAGTCATCAAGGAAAATAGTTAATACAATTAAAAGAATCAAAATTGATACAAAATGTCCATAATGAACAAAGCATCAAAGTTTTAAATAAAAACAGGATCCAACAGAACTATGCCCTGCCATATTGTAGCCTGAGGCAAAGTAAACATGTCAGTAAGGCCATAAGGCCCCTATAGACATGTTTTGTGTATTTCTTAATGGTTAATTTTTTTTTCTAGAAGTAGATTTGGGGAAAATTTGTTCTGATAAGTTTGCTTCCATTCAAATTATTATAAAATTATAACAAACATTTGGTATAAAGTATTTAAAACTAAAAGAATGCTGTAAGCTTGAATATACCTACTTTAAAATTTTTCAATATTTTTAATGTTCTGAGGGCTGAAAAAAATCATTTAGAAAACTCGTTAGAGCTTCTACTTCCAAGAAAGTGGAAGAGATGTACTTTTCCCTATTTTGTACTTCCCAATAAGTACAACTAAAAATTCCTGGATGTTATATAAAAATAAACGTAAAAAGTGTCTGAAAGGCAGAGAGAAGGAAGACTGGCTGGGGCCTCAGGACCAAGGAACAACATGTGGTTGGTTAACTGGCCCAGACTTGGAGCTGAAGGAGCCAGCAGCCCTGAAATGCCAGTGGGCACAGACAATAAAAGCCCCAACAAAAGGCTATTCTCTCTAGCCAAGGACCAGGAAAGGAGCAGCCTAGGAAGATGGAAAACTTTTAGACAATAACCACTGTACTCCAGCCAAAGCCCACAAAAACAAACAAAAAATGTGGGCCCCACCCTTACCCAGGCCAGCAAGGCTGTATGGGGAGCCAGATCTACCCCCCAACTCAGGAGTGTCCCTTCCCATCCGTGAGGGATGGTCTCAGGAGAGGCCTAGCGAAAACTCACAGGTTTCACCACTATCCACCCTTGAAAAGGCCATCCCCCACAGACACACTCATGATGTCAGTGGAGACCACGTGGGAGCAATAAAGAGAAACTCTCACCCTTCCCAGACCAGGAGGTATCAGTAGAGGCCTAATGCAGAGCCCAGTGCAGAGCTGAAAAAATTTTAAAACTCCCATTAAAGCAGTCTATAGGTCTAGATAGTTTCGCTGGAGAATTCCAAAAACTGAAAAAAAAGATTTGATAGCAATTCTATATAGAACCTCTTCCAGAAAGTTGAAGAGAAAAGAATACTTTCTGATTGATTTATGAAGCTATTTTTATCCTGATACAAAAATCACACAAAAGCAGTACAAAATTAAATGCAGAGAGAGAACTACATACCAATATCCCTCATGAATATAAAGAAAAATACTTAATAAAATACTAGCAAATGGAATTCAGCAATATGTAAAAAGAGTTATATACTATGTGGCTTCAATTCTAGGGATGCAAGTCTGGCTCAACATTTGAAAATTATTAATGTAATCCACCATATTAACAGGCTAAAAGGAAGAAAAAAGATCACATGACCATATCAATCAATGTAGAAAAGCATTTGACAAAATTCAACACCCATTAATGATTTTTAAAACTCTCTGAAAACTAGACTAGAGGGGGATCTTCCTCGACTTGATAAAGAGTGACTCTAGGAACCTACAGCTCACATTTGCTTAGTGGTGGAAGGCTGAATGTCTTCCCTTAAGATCAGGAGCAAGGCAAGGAAGTTCATCGTCGCCACTCTTACGCAACGTTGTGCAGGAAGTTCTTGTCAGCAATGAGGCAAGAAAGGAACCAAAACAGATCAGAAAGGAAGAAATAAAACTTCTCCTATTTGTAGATGGTATGATTGTCTATGTAGAGAATCCCAACGAATCTACCAAAAAAACTAGGACTAATAAGTGAGTTCAGCAAAGTCATAAGATACAAGATAAACATACAAAAATCAATTGCGTTTCTATATGCTAACAATGAACACACGAATAGTGAAATTAAAAATACAATGCCATTTATAATCATTCAAAAAATATGAGCTGCCCCGGCCCATGTGGCTCAGCGCTTGAATGTCGACCTAGGATCCAGGAGATCGGGGTTCAATTCCCGGTTAGGGCACAGGCCCAGGTTGCGGGCTCGGTCCCCAGTCAGGGGCGTGCAGGAGGCAGCCGACCAATGACTCTCATCATTGATGTTTTTCTCTCTCTCTCTCCCTCTCCTTTCCTCTCTCTGAAATCAATAAAGATAATATTTTTTAAAAATGAGCCACTTAGGTGTAAATTTCTCAAAACTTGTACAGGATTTGTTTGCCAAAAACTACAAAATGCTGAGGAAATAAAGGAAGTCTACACAGATTGAGAGACATACCACGAAGCTTTGGAGACAACCTAGTGAAAATGTCAATTGTCCCCAAAATGGTATACAGACTTAATATAATTCCTATCAAAATCCCAGCAAGAGTATTTGTAGATATAGAAAAGATTATTCTAAAATTTACATGGGAAGGCAAAGAAACCTGGTTACCTAAAGTGATATTGAAAAAACAAAAAGGGAAGGGTCAGTCTACCTGATTTTAAGGTTTTTTTGCCCTCATTTTTTCCACTGCTTTTCAGAGAGAGTGGAGGGGGGAGAGAGGCTGGGGAGCGAGCCTGCAACCAAGGTACATGCCCCTGGCCAGGGGAATCGGACCCGAGACCCTTCAGTCAGCTGGCCTGTGCTCCAACCACTGAGCACCCAGCTGGGGCTACCTGATTTTAAGATTCATGATATACTTCAGTAATCACGCCTACGTGGCATTGCGGAAGGATGGATCGATGGAAAGAATAGGGAATTCAGAAATAGGCCCGCACAAACGCCCAACTGCTTTCTGACAAAGGCACAAAAGCAACTCAGTGGAGGAAAATCGTCTTTTCAACAAATGCTGCTGCAACAAGTGGATATCTACAGGCAAAAAAAATAAGAACTCAAGTCTCACGTTTTACACAAAAATTAACTCAAAATGGGCCACAAACTTGTAAAATATAAAACCACAATTTTAGGAAAAAAATAGGAGAAAGTCTTCACAATTTGGTGGTAGGCAAACAGTTCTTAGACATCAAAAGCATAAACATAAAATATTGATAAGCTTGACACTATCAAAATAAAAAACTTTTCAAAAGACATTTTAAGAGAATGACAAGACAAGCTACAGATTGGGAGAAAATATTTGCAAACCACATATTTAACAAAAGACTAGTATCTAGGAGATATAATAAACTTCCAAAACTCAACAATAAAAAACCAAATAATTCAATTAGAAAATGGGTAGGTGACATAAATAGGCATTTCATCTAAGAGCATATACAGATGGCAAATCTATACATGAAAAGATGTTCTATAGCATTAGCCATAGGAGACGTCCAAATTAAAGCCACAACGAGCCCTAGCCAGTTTTGCTCTGTGGTTAGAGTATCGGCCTGTGGATTGAAAGGTCCCGGGTGCAGTTCCGGCCAAAGGCACATACCTCGGTCGCAGGCTCTCCCCCTGGCCCTCGTTGGGCCCTGTACGCGAGGCAACCAGTCAATGTATCTGCGTCTCTCTCACATCGATGTCTCTCCCCCCTCCCCCTTCCACTCTCTGAAAAGCAATGGAAAAAATATCCTCAGGTGAAGGTTAAGAAAACAACAATGAAATATCACTACACAACTATCAGAATGGCTAAAAGTCACAAGATCAAAGGCTGGTGAAGATGAAGGGAAATTGGATCACTCATAGATTTACAATGTAAAATGGTATAGCCACTCTGAAAAACAGTTGGCAGTTTCTTTAAAAACTGAACATGCAATCATCATATGACCCAGCAGTTGTGTATTTATCCTACAAAAAATGAAAACTTATGGTCCCGCAAAAACATGTACGTGCATGCTCATAGCAGTTTTGAATAGCCCCAACTGGAAACACCCAGCTGTCCTTCAACAGGCGAGTGGTTAAACAAGTGGTAGGATGGCCATATCATGAAATACGACTCATCGATTATGAGGAACCACCTAATGGCACATGCAGCGCCTGGATGAATCTTCAGGAAATCAGTCTGAGTGAAAAAGCCAATCTCGAAAGGCTATAAACTATATTATTTCATTTATATAATAGTCTTGAACTGACAAAATCAAAAAATTGGTAAACATATTTGTGGTTGCCATAGGTTAAACGGGGTGAGGGCAGGAGGTGGGTATGTGTGGCTATAAAAGTGTGCATGAGGGATCTTTGTGGTGATGGAAATATTCTGTATCTTGACTATATCAGTATCACAATCCTGGTTGTGATACTGTTCCTACTGGGGAAAACTGAGTAGTGGGCACATGGGATCTCCCTGTATTAGAAGTTTAATTAAAAATATACATAAAAACATGTCTATAGGGACACATTTTTCTTTTTGCTTCAGACTCCAATATGGCCCTGCACAGCATTGCCTGGCACTTGGCAAGCTTTCTATCTTGGCTCTTCTTGACTTGGCCAACACAGAATTGGGGTATACGGTCTGCCTGCAGAATAGATTATTTGAAGACAGAATTCTCCTGGGAAATCTGGGCTCTAAATATCTCCAGCGTTCCAACTTCTCCTTCACTACTCTCATTCATTCTGTTAGGATGTGGCCCCTTATAAAGCTGGCATAAGGCTCATGGCCCCTTTCTCTAGGTAGGGCATCTTTGAGTTAGGTCCCAGGATGACTTATGTCACAATCACTCAGGATGCTGTCTCAGTGCCTATTCCTGGGCCTAAGGAATTACATTTTTAACTAGATTCCTGAAAGAATTCTAATGCACACTAAAGTTAAGGCTCAACTTTGTCTGAAGTCAAGATTTTCTGAGGAGGCACAAGGAGTTCCCACACTGGGATGTTCTCTAAAAGGACTTTCTAAAAGGCAAGAATCTGAGTGGGGACCCCTGTGGCTGCCCTGGCTCCCACTATAATGAGGACACAGAACCACCCCCCACCCCCCCCAACCCTTTGCTGCCATTGGCTGGGAGCTCACCGCAGTGTTTGGCTCAAGGAGACGGTGCTGTAGCTTCTGGGCATCTTCCCATTGTCCTGTGAGGCAGAGTCGCTCCAGCTGGCACACCTGAGCCCCCAGGACATTGGCCAGGGCACACACGCCCCCCACCGCTCCTACCCAGAGTAAAATGCAGAACATCAGCCAGGCCTCTTCTCACAGAGAATCCCAAACCCTAGTCCCCAGCCCCTCTTTGCTCTGGGGAGCTAGGATGCGGATTTCTATGCTACTGGTTGGTCATGTCAAAGGCACGCTCTATGAATCTGCAGAGTACAGAGAGAAAAGCTGCCAGCATATTGGAAGTAGAACCCTGCAGGCTGAGAGTCAGGGATTAGGGATGGAAGGCTAACTCAAGGACGGTTCCTTCCCAGCATTCCTCGCCCCCTCCCCCAAAAAAAGTAAAGTCCTATGGGTCGGTTGACACCTCCACGTTCCTCTACTAGCCCCTGACTCACCATCCTGAAAGGGGGTGAAGTGAATGCGAAGCCTTTGCTCTTCTGAAAATTTATCTGCCCCTTACCGCCCCCCTCCAGTGAATTCAGCCAGGAACGGGTGGGGATGGGGTGGGGCGTGGAAAGCACTCTGGACACAGTCAGGACACCAGGCGTTTCCTCCCATTGGCTGCATGAACTTGGACAAGTCATAGACCCTCTGGTCCTCTTTGTTTTCATCTGGGCAATGAAAATGGACTGGCTGAGATGGCAGAGGGCCCTGCCACTTCTGCCAGCCTGTGAGTGTGATGCGAAGGCTAATTACGAGTGCCCCTAAGCAGAGGACTTCAGACCTGCAGAGAGAGGAGGCACCTAGGAATGAACTAATATAGCTGCCACTTGATTGAATCCCTATTATGTGCCAAGCACTGTGGCAGACATAGGGCCAGTGCTCTCTAACTCTCACAACATCCCCTGCTTTACAGAGTAGAAACTCACATCTAGAGGGGTTGAGTACCTTGCCTACCAATACCCAGTGAGTTAACAGCAGAGCTGAGATTCCAGCTCAAATGCTAGGCCTCCAGAGTCTGTGCTTTTCCCCTCTACCCCACTCTCAGGAACGAGGCATAACTGAGTCCCTCTTCTTCGCCTTTAGAGACGGTGATATGCGGGGGGGGGTGGGGGTGCAAGGACCTAGACAGTGAACCAAAGTTTGCACAAACCAGAGAGAATAGGACCCTGAAGCTTTGGAAAAGTAGCTTAAATCTGTGTCAGCTGAAGGAGCAGATGCTCCCCCCACCCTTCACCCCCTCCGGCTCAAATCAAACCTGAACCCAAGGAACCCAAACAGACAAGAACAATTGCTCTAATGATGACGTTCCTAGGCTCCTGGACTGGCACAGAGTCTGATCAGGCAGCTGAAGGTCCCTGCCCAGCCCTGCAGGTCTGACCATTCTAGCTTGCAACCAGAGAGAGGAAAATCACCACTGGACTACAGGGGAGGGCCCCAAGGCCTCTGGGAGATTAGAGGAACTAAATTTGTCACCTAAGCGGGGAGCCTGGGATTTAGAGCAAATTGCAGGCATCCCTATGATAGGTCAGGGTTTGTACACAGTCATTCTCCTCCACCCAACAAGGTCATTCACAAGCACCGTGTCCAGACAGGCAAGCAGTGTGCTAGACTTCTGAGGTTTTGGAACAGGCAAGCTACAAAGGCCCTCTGCAGACCCAGCCCCGGCCCTCATGGTCTCTTCCAGCAGACCCCAGCTGCCTGGGTGAATCTGGGTCACCCTTCACAGTGTGAGAGCAGGAGGAGGCCTACCCACAGCATAGCTGGCCAGCAGGAAGCCAGCTGATCCAGCCAACACCTGGAAATCCTGCCTCCTGGTCTTGTGAATCATCAGCCCGATTCTGGTCACCTGCAACAGCAAGCCTGGTGTGAGCCGGGCCCAGAGCCTCAGGCTAGCCCGGGTGGGGGCTGGGCCAGGGGGTAGAATGAGACCCTCCTCCCCCCACCCCAGAGAGCCCACACAACAGAGAGGACCCACACTGAAGCAGGTCCCAGGGCTGCCCTGAAGTTGGTAACGAAAGAGAAGTGCATGGTGCCCTAGCCAGGAGCTGCTGCCACTCACATCACCACCGCTGTCCTTGATGCCGATGATATTCGGGTGCTGGGAAAGCGTGGCCACCGTGTCGACAGGCAGGTCCAGCCCCGTGTTGGCTGGGACACTGTACAGCACCACAGGAATTGGAGAGAGGTCAGCGACCTGAGGGACGCAGAGAAGTGGGAAGAGGACAGCTGCCCAAGCCTGAAGATCAGGGCCAGTGCACCCTGGCCAGGCCCACCTCGTGAACCAGAGTCACAGTGCCACATGCCCTGCTTGTAAGCAGTAAAAGTGGGTAATAATTAATGAGTGCTTTTTATGGGCCCAGCACAGTCCCAAGTTCCTTATGTTTTGATATAATTTAGTCTCACAGCAACACTCTGAAGAAGATGCCTTTATTCCTCCCATTTGAGAAGGGAGGAAACAGCATGGTTAGGGCAGTTACCCTATGTCACACAGCTGGCAGACAGTGGCATTGCCCCCTGCCGTTCACGGGAAGTAGGCTTGCCACTCCATCCCCAGCTTCTCAGTCTCCTCTTCTCAGGCAGTGGCTCTCCCTCCGCAGCTTCCACTTGGTTCCAGACCTCAAACCCATGCCCACCCCTCACGCCCACCTTGGTGTAGTGGTGGATGAGGGCAGCGCTGCTCATGCGGCCACGATAGTAGCAAGGGGTCACCACCATGGCGGCATCGGCCCCGACCTGGGCCATGCTCACAGTCATCTCCAACGTGGCTTGAGTAGCTGCAGGAGGAAAGAGGGCGTCTTGCCCATGGGCCATGCCACGGAGGGCGAGAGCAGCAGGAGGAAGAAAGGCTAGGCTAGGACCCTGAGGCAAGCAAGCGGTGCAGAAAAGACAGAACAAGTAAACTGAACCCAGCCCCTGGGCCAGGGAGCCTGCCCCCACCCCAAGCCACCCCCAGGGCCCAGGGCATTATGGCCTCACATTGGCAGCCAGAGCCAGCTAGCAGGAGCTTGTCCTTGGGCATGGCCTGGCGCACGCGGCTCACCACCTCCAGGCGCTCACTGCTGGTCAGGAGAGGGAATTCGCCATTGGAGCCCTGGACCACAAAGCCTACAGGAGAGATGGCATCACGTCAATAGACACCTTCCCATCTCTTACGAACAGCAGGGACATTACTGCTACCACCTCCTGAAAGCCATGGCTTTTCACATGTTTCCTTCCCATCTTTGTCTTGATGCAGCCAGAATGTTTTACCCAGTTGCAATAATAGAGTTCACACCATTTTTCTTTGTTTTAATGAACTGATCTAGCCACACCCCAAAGAGCAGATAATAACATAATCCACGTGTGTATCCAGCACGCTTGGCAACCCTCCTGTGGTCACCTTCCTCTTCCTCCTCTTGCTGTCCTGACTCAGGTGTTATTGTTCCCATTCATGTCTTTATGCTATTAAGACATACATTTGGACCCATAAACAAGATATAATATGGGTTTTGCCACTTTAAGCTTTATAGAAATGACGTCAAACTTGTATATACCTTCTTCAGCGTGCAATTTTTGCCCAACATTGTGTTTTGAGCTTTGTCTGTACCAGGACATGTAGCTCTGATTCATTCATTTTTCATTATTATATAATATTCCATCGTGAACTTAGGCCACAATTTACTTTTTTGTTGTTGTTAATCCTCACCTGAGAATATTTTTTCCACTAACTTTTTTTTTTTTAGAGAGAATGGAAGGGAGAAGGAGAGAGAGAGAGAAAGAGAGAGAGAAACATTGATGTGAGAGAGACACATCGATTGGTTGCCTCCTGCATGGGAATCAAGCCTGCAACAGAGGTACCCTTGCAATCAAGATGCCCTTGATTGGACTCGAACCCTCAACCCTTCAGTCCACAGGCCGACACTCTAACCACTGAACCAAACTAGCTAGGGCTATAATTTACTTTGTTTAAAATTGATTTTTAGAGAGAGAGAGGGAGAGAAAGAAACACCTATTTATTGTTCCACTTATTTATGCATTCATTGGTTGATTCTTGTATGGGCCCTGAGCAGGGATTGAACCCTCAACCTTGGCCTATTGGGACAATGTTCTAACCAACTGAGCTACCCAGCCAGGACCCACACTTTACTTTTCACTCCCCCTTTGAGGACATTTCGAATGTTTCCTTATTTTTGCTAAAATGCTAAAGCAAACATTTTCTGTAAGGTCCTCTGCGCCCATGTCTAAGGGTTTCCCTACAGTTCACTTGGGTGTGTAATTGCCGAGTCCTGCATGTGCACCGCTCGTGCCATACGTCTCTCTAATTAGCGGCTCCTACCCATCAGCACAAAGAGGAGGCTGTTGGGGCTCGTCCAGGCCAGCACTGGGGGTTGTCAGCACGAATTTTTGCCAGTCTTCTAGGTGAAAAGTGACATCTCATTCTTTTCTGTTTAATGTTCCTGTTCTATCAAGCATTTGGAATGGTTTCTCACATTACAGTTAAAGGTGTCAACCCTTTTATACCCATGAGGGACCAGCAGACTTGCTGCTATTCAGCTAAACCTGAAAGGAATGTTAGTAAAACCACTTTCCTCCCTTTTTTAAAAAATTTTCTTTCTCCTCTCTGCCCATTCCATTCCAAAAATATTTTTCTTCAACAGTTGAGAAACACAGCATAAAATACAACAAGGTTATTAATAGATACAAGTGTTTGGGAGAAAGGAAAGAAAATAAAGCTGGAAATGATATTGATTTCCAAACCCGTCAGCCAGTTGTGAGCAATGGGCCATGAATTTGATGCGGAGCTTCCCGACACTCAAAAGTTAAAAGGGAAACATGGTCAGCTGACAGATATGTAGAACTCAAGATAAAAGCAAGACAGCTGCCCTCAAGAAACACAGAGTTTCCTGGCACAGGGACCAAGAGAGTGTTCCTGTGAGTCATCCTTCAGGGGACACAGCGTGATGTAGTCAGTGTCACACCACAAGCCTTTTCCTTGCTGTTCACTACACCGTCAGATTCTACTCAATGCATTGCCAGGATAGCTCACTAGATAATCGGCTTTTTTGTCTTTTTTCTTTTGGCTTTTGCCTTGCTAACGTCGCAGGGAACATCTTGAGGCAAATAGCTTTTGGCTTCTGTTGGACTAGCTCCTTAGGAGCAATTCCTGCGCGTGAGGCTGGGAGCCCATGGCGGGAGCCTTTCTGTCTCGCACATTAGGCCCCCATGTATCGCAGTGGGCCACCCCTAGAGCAGGGCTGCTAACCCTAGAGGAGGGCTTCAGTCCAGCCAAGACTGGACCAGCACCCCCTGATTTAGAGATCAAAGGCTTAGAACTCAAACCTTCGCTACTCCCTCTATTCAAATGGAAGAACACCTCCCTCCCCACGCATGCCTGCCACCCCTCCTCAAAGGGGGCTGAGGTGGGTTCTTGCTCCAGCCCCTTCATCAGCCATAGCCACTCATTCCCAAATCCACTTCATTCTGGTGGTCAGTTCCAGAGGCCCCTGGACCCCACTGGCGGACCTGGGCTCAATAGCAGGACAGCTGGGTCTTGCACTCTGGGGGATCGAAGGAGGCCCGTGTGCTCAAGGCTCCTAGTGGCCTCTCCCTTGTGTCATTTAAGGGGGCATCTGACCCAGTCCTGACTCCCAAAGGGAAGAAATGCCAGGCGGGGAGAGGGAGTGTGGTAGAGTCAGGGAAGCCCTGGACCCAAGTTACCTCTGGCTATTGAGCCAGTGGCATCCCGTCTCTGAGCTTCCATTTCCTTTTTATGGGATGACAATAAAATCATTTCAGTCCCTTTTCTGGCTTTTTCTCCTACCTTTTGTTTATCTCTACATGTTGCCCTTCAGCCAAACCGACCGTCAAGGTGCCCCAGACACACTGCCCCCTTCCTGCCTCTACTCCTCTGCTCACGCTGTCCCCTTCTGCCTGGAACACCCCCTGGCTGCAGCGCCCCAAGTGCTGAGAGGACGCAGCCTTTCCCCCATTCCCCGCCCCCTGCTCCCCACAGCGTTTTGCTCTCCTTACATAGCGCGTGTCCTACGTTGCCCAGAATCATCACGGTCAGCGACGGTGTCCCGCTCCTTACGGCCTCCTCCGTGACGTGACGCCTTAGCACACTGCCTGCTGAGGTGTGTGCTGGCGATATGTTGTGTAAAAGGAAGACTGTCCCAGACCTGGTCTGGGGTAGAGCTTTTCTGTGATGTAATTCATAACCTCCCATAGGGAAGAAATGAACATTCCCGACAAAATGCTTAAGCAATTTCCCCATGAACTTGAATGGAATTGAGCCTTGATCTGGGAAACAAGCCATTCCCCTCCCCACAACTATAATAAAATTTAACGTACTCATAACTAAGTTGTCTGAAAACTTTTTTGACTTTTAATTCTGAACTACTTTTAAGTTTATAGAAAAGTTGCTGAAAGAGTACAGGAGATTTCCCTACATCACCCACCCAGCCCCCACCAATGATAACATCTTACCCAACTAGTACAATGACCAGAACCAGAGAATTAACCTTGGTACAATACTAACTGCAGGTTTTATTTGAATGTTTGCAACTTTTTTAAAGTAAAGATTCTGAAGTCATGATGAGCTCATCTTAAATATTATGTAATAAGCTTTTAATAAGGGATTTAGGTCTTCCAGATAAAAGCATACACTTCATGGATTTTAACAATCACTTTTAGAAGCCAAACCTCACCACTCTTGCTTTTTTGTCTAATTAAGTAGCCTCCAACATTTTCCAGTGTGACTGACCCCATTTTTTCCAATTAAGATTTTTATTATAAAGTATTTTAAATATGCAAATATATGTCAGCATATATATATAAAGTCACTTATTATCAATGTCAAAAATATTCAAAGACTCCCAACTCTGTACCATAAAATAGACAATATTTAGGATGTTTACAGTTACCCATTCTTTGCAAGATTCTGGGCACCTTCTCCCTGGAGTTTGAGGCCCACAGGTTGAGAATCACTGCTAACCCCATAATAGACATAAATGGTTAAGAAATTTCTATGTAGAGGGGTCACTTGGGGTTAGACAGTGCTGTGTAGCTGACTTCTCTCACGTTCTCTGGGGGAGACAGCTGCCTCCCTTTAACTACCTAATGGGGTCACTCCTTGCCCTAGAAATGGCTTCTTGGGAGCCTGGAAGAGGAAACAGGAGAGTCCCCGGCTTGCCGGAGAGCACAGAAAGTGTCAGGACATGTGGGAAGAGGACAGGAGATAAGCCTGAGAGAGGTGGACTCATCCGGGAATGGTGGGCATGGGCCTGGCATCAGAACAGGGCAGGGGGTCTGGGTTTGGGCTTCAGAGTCAGCCAAAGCAGGGCTCTAACCCCATGACATCACTCACAGTCTGTCATCCCAGGTGAATTACACCTCTGAGCCTCAGGTGCCTCATCTGAAAAATGGGGAGAATGTAATACCTCTCTCATGGGTGGCATACACTAAAAACTGGGGGGAAACCCTCAAAAAGAGGGAGCTGCTGGTAGTAGCAGTACTAGCAGCAGCAGCAACCCAGCCTGGCAATGCTAATATCACAAGGAGAGGGAATATATAGCACAATAGCTCTAAAGGGGGGGCCTACGTGGATCCCAGTGGGTCCAGGGAGCAGGCGGGCAGAGGGAGGACTGCAGTGTGGGCTGCACAGGACTGGAGCAGCGGTAGACCAGCCGAGGATGGCACCAAGAGGACAGGGACCTACGGCCCACATCGCTCACTTACTCGTTTCTAAAATTTCTTTCTCCTAATTCCTTTCTCCTAATTCCTGGGTGCTTCCCCTTTTCCTGACAAAAGCAGGTTGGTGGGTGTGAAGCCCCCTGGAGATATATCTCATCCCCAGAACCTGAGACCCTGGGAAGCCATTGTATGGTGTCTCAAATCAGTTCAGTGAAAAGGCCCCAGGTCAAGGCCCAAACCAAGAGGACTGTGGAGAAGAAACCCTCCCCCCCTTCCTGCCCAGCCCTGAGGCCGACCACAGAGCCCCCAGACTCAGAGTGAGGGTGCACAAGGCTTTATTGGCTCAGTTCCAGGCATGTGGCATCAGTGTGGGGCTCTCAGCTTTTCCTGGGATCTGCCTCATCTATCTTCTCTCGGCGGGTCTACAGGGGCCTGTGAGTCTGTTTCAGCTGCTTTGCTCCCCCCCAGCTCTCCCTCATTAGGGGCCATCCTCATGAAGTGGCAGACCCCACTCATGAAGTCGAAGGGGCCCAGGACCCCTGTAGGGACCTGAGTTAGAAGGGATTGGGGTGATAGCATCTTACTCTGGGCCACACAGGTTATCCCATAAGAGAGAAAACAGGCCTGTGATTGTGTGCCAGCCCTGTTGGGGGAAGGGGCATCTCCATCCATGGTTAGGTGGCTTGGAAGGGGTGGTAAGTCTGGTTGCTGCGGCTGGGCAGGCTGTGGTGGCTCTGGTGGCTCTGGTGGCTTGGATGATCCTGGTGGCTATGGCCATGGAAGGTGTGTGTATGGTTCACACCAGCTACAGTGGTTTCCCGCTGGGTGAGGAAATTGTTTTTCAGCTTTATCTCCACCTCCTCCAGGGCCTTCAGCTCCTCCTGGCTGATGTCCCTGGAATCCACGTGGCCTGAGTTCTGGTAAACTGTGGCACGCTGCAACATGGAGTTGGCCACCTGCCGTCCCTTGGTGTCAATCTCCTTAGTACTGGCAGCCACGGCGGCCCATGTGGCCTCATCTGTGGATGAGGGCTCCTTGTGGGTCTCTCTGGCCCCTGAGGACCCAGGCAGCCTCTGCTGGCTGGGCAAGGGCTCCCTGGAGGTGGCGGTGTCCGTGCGCATGGTGGCGCTGGCCGCCCCGGGGCCTGCCTCGGGCTGCGGGGCGGCGATGCTGCTGCTGGCGGACGCGGCGCTGCTGTAGGAGGAGAGCTTCTCTTCGGAAAGGCGGCTGAAGTGAGATTTGATCCAGCTCTCGTTCTGCGCCTTGTGGCCTTCCTGTGGCTCGTGCTCACCTTGTGGAGACTGGGGGGCTACCTTCCTCCTTCTCCTCTTCTGAAGCCACAGAATGAAGCCTCCGCCTCCGAGTAAGAGAACAGTCCCCAGCACCACCTTGCATGATGGCTGCTGGATGAGCTCCAAGAAGTTCTCCAGGGCCCTAGGCCAGGCAGGCAGAGCTAAGAGCACGCTGGGAGTGGGGGAGCCCGGATGGTGCGTTTCATGCTGGAAAGGGCAGGCTCCCTGTGGGTGTCTGGCAGGCAGGCCCCTGCTGCACCCTTCTTAGGTTGCCCCTCCCGCCTCCCATTATGAGGTTCACTGGGTGGGGAAAGGCCACAGCATCCCTTATGTCTAGCCTGGCGGGCATTGCCTGAGGCCCAGGTTCTGTCTCCCACCCCGATGGCTATCCCCAAGGTCAGTGGAAGGGCAGCTTCCCCAACTCTGAGTCCCCTCTGTCTTCTCTTGTGACCCATTCTGCAACTCAGTCCTTCTTATCTTCCAGTCTTCGGTTTCTCTTCCTTGCCACCCAGGGGCCCCCAGCAGGCAGAGGCTGCTAGGTCAAGCTGTCCATGGCTGAAGAACACCCTTGGATGGGCCGGCATCCATTCCGGGCCGCCTGAGGTGGTGTCTCCCTCCATCTAGGACCCACACCTGCTGCCAACTCAGAGCATTCCATCCCCACTTGCAGCCCCCAGACCCATTACATGGCAGGGTCCAGAATAGGGAAAAGGGGCCCAGCCAGGAGCTCATTCTGGAATAACATGAGGTCACAAATGGGGGTTAGGGGTGGGAACCAGCAGGGCTGAGAAAGCAGAACAGATAGGACAAGAGAGGTTATGGGGTCCCAGGTCCCTGGGGCCATTCCAGGATGGGGCTGCTACCTCTTGCCTTAGTGATGTACCAGCAAACCCAGAATTTACCACCACCCCACCCCATTCCCGTAAATGGGCACAGTGCAAGTTGTGAGCAAGCAGGCCAGCCTGCCAGGTTCTCCAAAGGTACAGACAATGGACAGTCTGGTCCACAATCCCAAGTTATATCCAGGGCCTCTGGGGGTGGAAACAGGCCTGGGCCACTCTATTTTCCCACCCAGAGGCACCTAACATCATTTTCAAAAATGACGAAATGAAATGCCAAAATAGGGTTGTAAAAATTGTGATATTATAAACAAAACCTTTTATTTAATACAGTAATGGCTTTAATATACACAAAAATATTCTATATTATCACAAGAAACCATGGTCCAGTCTATAGACCAAGGGGATAAGACAAAAGCTTAAAGTACTATGGAAACGTCGACTCTCCAGCCTGGCTGCAGTAGCTCTGTGGTTGCCCAGTGACCTCATCTGGAAATAACAGTTCAAAGTTCATTTCTGAGGTAGTTTGTGAGAGTGAATTCAGGACCAAATGGCCCCTCAGCAACAACTCCACCCTCCAGTCTCTAGTTAAAACTTTTATTTAAAAAGAATACTCTTTTAAAATAATACCAAATAATCAGTATAAATTAACAATGAAAAAAATAAAAATATAAAGAGCTATAATAGTCAATAATACTGTAATAACTACATATGGTGTCAGATGGTTACTAGATTTATTGGGTGATCACGTCATAAGTTATATGTGTCTTACCACTGGGTTGTATACCTGCAACTAAAATAATATGTGCACATCAACTATAATTGAAAAATTAAAAATTATACTTTAAAAAACCTACAGAGTTTCAGGCAATGCCTTCCAGAAACTTCCAGCTGTTCATCGACTCATCAAAGGCTTTGGAGGACCTTCACCTTATTGATGTGAAATGTGATGGTTCTCACCTCTACCCCTGAGCGTGGAGCTGCAAAGCGGGGCTAGGATCGGGCAAGAGAGACACAGATTTTACAGCTAAAGTGGCTCACTGCTCCCTTCCTGGGCACCTGGCTGTGTCCTGGGACCAGTGACAGGACCCTCTGGCTCTATGTTTTTTGTGCCAGGGCCTCTCATGTTTGAGCTCCTTGGGAGAAATGCATTGAACCCTGTGGCTCAATTCCCATCCAAAAATGAGGAAACAGAGAGGTTCAGTGATTTCTCCAAGGTCACTGTAACTGGTGGAACCAGGATTCCTACCCAGTCTTCTAACTCAGGTGCTGGGCTCTTTCTACACAGTCCACTGCCTCACCCCACCTTGTGTTGGGGTGAGAGAGAGAAGGTGGGAGCAGGCGGCTGGGTGGGTTGCCGCCTGCCAAGTCCACAGCAGCCTGTGCTCCTGGGCACTGCCCTGCCCTCGGTGGGAGTTGGGAGGGGAGGGTTCAAAGAACCTGGGGGTCTCTGTGGATTCTCTGGGTGGCAGGCAGACATCAGGTGCAAACCCCACCCTCCCCACCCCCTGCACTAAGGTGTCCTTGAACCTGGAAGGTGAAGCTGAACCTTCTCTTCTCTTAGAGATTTCAGGAGCTTCTCAGCATCAGGAGAACCAGACCTCAGCTCAGACTTTCAGGCCCCAGTGACCTGAGCCCCTGCAGAAATTTATTTAGTTTGTGTCACAGCTCAACGTGGGTGTCCACGGGGCATTCATTGTCCTCTAGGAAAGGATCACATCATCTCAGCAGTGAGATATGAATGGGTCTCAGGCCAGCGGTCACTGTCCCAAAGCAGCTTTGCCCACGGTACCAGTAGCACCGTCATTCTAATCATTGTTGTCCTTGGATAACAATGTATCAATACCTTCCAATATATCACTACAGCTTAGAGCATGCCTTCGCTTGCATTCCCTCAGATTTTCCTCCCAACCATCCTGAGACGGGCATTATTATTCCCATGTGTCGGATGGGGGACAGAGGTTTAGAGAGACTAGCTCACAGCTAAGTCAGTAATAGAGCTGCGATTTGAATCTAGAGTCCATGTTCTTTTAAAAATATATATATATGTTTTTATTGATTTTAAAGAGGAAGGGAGAGGCATAGAGCGATGGAAACATCAGTGAGAGACAAGCATTGATCGGCTGCCTCCTGCAAGCCTCCTACTAGGGATCGAGCCCCCAACACCCAAGAATCGAACGGAGGACCCTTGGTTCATGGGTTGATGCTCAACCACTGAGCAACACCAGCCAGACATAGAGTCCCTGTTCTTAACTGCTCCACTCACTGCCTCAGTCGGAGCCACTCCATTCCCAAAGCGGGTGCTGACCAGACTCTGTTGAAATCACCTGGTCTAGCAACTCAGCAGTCAGTGCAGTAGAGTGAAACTCAGCATGGCTGTGCAGTCAGACCTGTGTTCAAATCCCCGCTCAGCCATGGACCTGTACAAGCAAGTGCCTTTGGGCAAGTACCCGTGTCATTCTGAGCCCAGCCTTCCCATCTGTGAAATGGTGCAATAGGGAGTATCGCCTCAGGGGACTGTGAGGAGCAATGGATGAAGGCCAGCAGGGCAGGATGGGGGACTTTTCCACTCCTTCTACCTTCATTTATTGTGCTTGTGGCTGTGTAGTATGTTCAGTGTCACCAATAGGATGTGGTCCCTGGCCTCAGAGAGGGGAGATCCATGTACAGGGAAAATGAGTCAGACAATCCAGAACAAAAATTAATCTGGCCAAGGGAGGCTTTGCCTGGAAGAGAGTGCAAACAAGCCTGAGGGAGGTGAGCCTGCTGGCTGGGCTGCCACTGGGCACCTGGCTGCCCTCACACCGCACAGAGTGCCCAGCTGACGAGGACTTTCACACCCAGTATCTAGTTTGATCCCCATAATAATGCTGAGAGCTAAGATGGCGCTTTAGCAGTTTCCAACTGGAGGAACTGAGGCAGGAGAGATTCAGTCAAGGTCTCAAGCCAGCCGGGAGCTTCCCACCTGTCTTCTGACTCCAGACCAGTGCCCTCTGTTCCTCTCCCATAATAAAATGACCCCCGGGCACTCCACTGTTCCTGAGCAGCTTGACAGAGCCTGTGTCCCTTCCTCTGGTCTCTGGCTGAAGAGACCAGGGTCATTCACATCTCCCCTGAGCCCCCAGAGGACAGGCCCACTTACCTTTGAAGGGGAAGGCACCCAGTTTGTGCAGGTTCTCCTCCAGTTTCCCATAGTCCACTTCTGAGGTGGCAGTGAAGGGGGTGGTCAGAGGGGGATAGATGCCTGCGATGTCCAACTTCCTCCCCTCCTTTGAGGCCCGGCCCCCCACATTCCTAGACAAGCCTCTGCTCAGCCCCTGCCTTACAGGGGACCAGACTCGAGGGCCCAGCATCTCCACAGGAGGCCTGAGGCCCAGCTATTCTCTGTCCCTAAGGGAAGCTGAGTTTGGACCCCTTCCTAACCCTGTTAATGATCAATGTGTCTAGTTAGAAATTCGCTGCCCCTGACTTGTCAGACCTGGGGCAGGCTGGGCCAGGTGTCCCCAGGTCAAAGGCCAGGCCTATAGGTCCCGGGG